CCGCCCTGCCTCACATCCGCAGCGTGCCGGGAGCTGCTGGTGCCATGTCCGTGGGAAACTAGCTCCAAATCCCGGCCGGAAGCAGCCAGGCGGTGCTGCGACCCCCTGGCCCCTCTCTCTCCCCGCCTCTGGCTGGCCCGGCTGCGCTGCGCTAGGCTGGCCTCATGCCGTGCTTGCAGCAGGAGGACAGAAAGAGGCATTAATTCAGGGAAGGAGCTATAGGCCAGATATGGTGTGCCCTTTCTGCGAGCTCCAGGCCTTGGTTACTACAGGTGGCTCAGAAACATTTCAGCTCTGTAACAAAGCCAGTCTGGAGGAACCAAAAGCAAAGCAACATCCCAGTGCTGTGACTCCATGCATGACTGGAGACCATAGACCATGAGTGCCAGGGATCTGACACAAGCTTCTCTGACAGTTACTCTGTTTTCCTTCCCAGTCAAAGTAGGGATGGGAGATAGAGTGGGAAACAGCAACCCACATGGTGCTCAGCCTGTCACAGGGCACAGCTCTGTGGGCTCCTCTGGCCTATCCTCAGCAAAAAGCACTGCACAAAACCCTCACAGCGGAGCCAGCAGCGCATCCCTGCCTTCGCACTAGCTCCCTGCAATAGTCAGTGGCTCCACAGAGAGCCCATGTGTGTCTGGAGCAAAATACAGTCACACCAGTCTGGCCGGGCTGTTTCCATCACTGACACGTAGCTGGGTGCATTGTGGGGGAGCTGCTTTGCTTACCTAGGAGCTGTTTGTACTTCCAGACGAACTTTCTACTTCCCAGCTCACTGCTTTTCCAACCACAATCTCCAGAACCTCAGTAAAACAAAGATTACTTCTAAGGGGCCACAAAACGTAACCTAGCAAAGCATCTCCCTGGTGAACAGGCTTAAATGCACTGCAGGGTCCCTGCCTCCACTGGACAGTTTCTAGTTTCTACAACTCAAGATAGGTTAACAGCCACTGCCCAAGTCACAGTTTTGTGGAAGGTTTAGATTTGGGAAAACAGTCCACAGCTTCCACAAATAAGCTCAATCTGATCAGCTCAGAGACAAGCAGTGCAGGAGCAGCTGCAGGCTGTATCTGCCGAGTGGAGATTTCCTCACCCTTGACTGCTGACAGAGGCTATTGAGTAGAATACAGTACTGGCTTTCACCACAAGTCCAAAGGGAAGTCAAGGCAAAAGCAGCAAGAGGTGAGCTGGTTGTCTTTAGGATAGTGCTGCATGCACTGACATGCTTTGTGGGCATGCATCTGCACCCTTTACTCTCAGGGGAATCTTTCATTGGGCAGATTATACGTTACAGCTCAAGGGCAGAATGTAGAACGGGGACAGCTCCATAATGTCCAGTTCCAAAGAGAAATGGGCCAGAGTTTACAGCCTGGCTGATTCAGGGGTAGCACAGCCCAGAGCAGAATGAAATAGCCCTCTGAAGAAGGAGATTAATCCTAAAGTAGCTAAGAAACTGTACAGGAACACAGAAGCAGAGAATTATAGAAGTGAAATCAGATCCAGCTGGGACGTGCAGCAGCATCAGAATACAAAAGCTCTGTGCTGTGCCTGAAACGCTGCTCTTCTTGCTGAGGGTCCTGTAATAGTCTTTCCCAGTACTTAGCTTTCTGGGGAATAGTCATAATGGGTTTACAATGAACAAGATGTGTACTGCTTGTGCTTGTAACCTGCTGACTCACTTTATAACAGCTCTGCATGCATAAGCCCATAGCTCCAGCATTCAGCTGCCAACATTTCTTGTGTCCTTTAGACTGGAGATGCTCTACAGCCTTACTCAAAGGGAAGCGAGACTCCTTACGACCCGAGAGACAGACACTGGTGTCACACTGTGTACAGAACGTGGTCTTTATTCGACAAGAGGGAATAAATTTTCTGAATCAACAAACAGCAACCAGGAGAAGAGCGCTCCACGCAGCTCTTCAGGTTCTGTATCAGGAAAGAGCAGGAACACCCTCAACCAGACCTGAAGAAGATGGGATCAATACCAGAAGTAAAGCCCATTGCTCTGGCTGAACAGGGGAGTTCTCATCCCCAGGAGACATAGCCACTAGCAGCTCTGCACAAACCACCTAGCACTAAATAAAACCCAGGGAAGGGTCTCTCAATCCCCAGCTCCCTGGATACGGTGTGGGTATGTGAAGAGATTCCGAAGTCCTAGAAGGAATCCAGGTGTGGTGGCTGCAGCAGGAACAATGATGGTAACTGCTATTCCCTGTGTCTGGTTCATCTCAGCTCACCTCTGATATGGATGCATTGAGGCAGATTTGATGTTTGTTTTTATGCCACTCGGCATCTTTCCTGGAGAGATAAAAAAGAAGAAGTAGTACAGAATCAGAAAGGACATTTGCGGAGGATCATGCAAGGAGCACAACAGTCCTGTTAGGGCTTCTGTTCCACTCCCTGTACTACCCTAGGCTTACTTGCTACAGCATTTTCCAGTCTGTCATCTAACACAATCAATCTCTCCTACAAATTATTGAGAAATTCGTTGAGAAATCTCCACGACGTTTCCTGTCAGGTTCCCCCCACCTTACGTCTGTCCTTGTCCCATCCTAATCAAGCCTTTCTTATTGCCAAGAGGCTCCTACAGAACTGTGGGACTTTTCACGCTCACAGAAGTTGCTGACAGCAGCACGGAGATAAGAAACCAGACTGCTCCCCACGTCCATCCCAGAGAGGCAAACACAAGAACCTGTATGCCCTTCCACATAACACCATTTATAGTCAATGCATATAATAAATTATTAAACCTCTCTCAAATCTCTTCATTTCTTTTAATCACATCCACCTCTTGGGCAATATTACTCTTTGCTGATACCAATCACACACGGGAGAGTGTTCAAAGACATCATACAGGCAGCTTAGGGCGTACCATGCCAGATAGAACTAAGATGATCAGAAAAATACAAAAGGACAGTGATTAAAGAGCAGCACAGAGGGATATTCAAAGGACACTCCTCCAGAACGTGGAATGTGTGGCAGGACAAAAAAAAAAAGATTTGATGAAGAACTGGCTAACAGAGTAAAGATTATTAAACTTTTTCAAACAAGGCAGGTCACTGCCTGCAATGAGCTGGCAGATAATCTGACATCACTTCAGTGCTTGCTAACAATCAGTAGACAAATAATGTTAAACATCCAAAAGGAAGAGTGAACAGGACTGTCCACAGACATCTGGAATGCTCTGAGCAGTTCTGGTCCTGCAAGCCTTGAAAACATATAGAAGAGGTGCAGGAAAGAGGGACAAGGATGCTCCAAGTTAAATAATAATTTTCAGACAAACACATACTCAATAGACTGAGATTCTTGCTCTGAAACCAAAAATAGATGGACAAAGGGAAGACGACACCACAGATTTCCAAAAAATTAAAACTAGTACGGAGAAGGTAAATGAAGAAGGATTATTCATGGATTCTCACAATATAAGTAAAAAGGAAACAACCAATGAAATTATCAGGCAAAAGATTTAAAAACAAAAAGGAAATTATTTTAAGCAAAACGTGCAATAGAACTGTGGGACATACTGCCAACAGATGGTGTAGAAGTCAAAACTGTAATTCAGGAAGTGAATACAGAAATTGATGGCTATTCTACCTACTGGTCTTCAAGCAAATTCTAGCTCAAAATATCCCCCAACAGCGACTGCCGAAGGTGTCTCCCAAGGTATACTTTGTTCTTATATTCTTTCAGCCTCGACTTTGGCCATTATTAGGAATTGGATGATGGGACAAAGGGACCTCTGGCCAAACCCAGTACAGCTGCTTTTATCAAAAGGGAACTCCAGGGTATCAAAGGCTGTACAAGTACTCTTGTTACCACCATGCTCAGCTCAATGCACAGAAGCAATTGTCTTCCCATCCGGGAGACAATGTCAGTGGGTACACAGCCAAAAATCACAGGGGCCTTCTTTGTTTCCAAATCACAGTGGAAATTACTTTCTAACTGTAACATAAAAACATCATTAACTTAGGATTAATATTGTTGATCAAGTTCATTTCTGAACAACGCACTCATTATGCAGGCAACAAAACACCAATTAAAATATCGGATATCCAGAATCCCAATTAACATAAACATAAGAATAACAATACAGGGTTAGGCCTCCAGGTCCCCCAGGCCAAACCCATTTCTGACAGCATCTCACAGAGATATTTAAGGAGGAATACCAGAAGAGGGCAAGCCAGTAGTGATACCCTCTGCAAAATACCCTCTCAGCCTTCAACATGCTGTGGCTCAGGGACTTTGAGTCAGAGATGGTGTCACCAGGGTGATTAGCCGTTGACTGATTTTTCATGCAGAAATGTACAAACTTACTTTTCTGTTCCATATGCACTTTATATATTTATCACTCACTTGGGCAATGCGCTCTACAGTTTAATTATTTAGTATTCAGAAAAGTATCTCCTTTTGTCCTAAAGGCACGAGCGGCTATTTTCAGTGGTGCACTTCCTTCCTGCACCATGGGAAGTTGTGAACCATCACTCCCTATTCACCTGCTCTATACAGTTTAAGATTGTGCAACTTCCATACATTCTTCTCCCTACTCCCAAACTCTCTTTTATCCATGATCAAATGTCATAGCTTTCTGAAGTCTTCCCTTATATGAAAGCCTTTCCAGACCTTTGACCATTTTGTCATCCTTCCCTGAGCCTTTCCAGTTATATTATAACTTTTTTACAAAGGGAAAAGATCAAAACAACCTATAATATTGCAGGTCTGGGTGCCCAATAGAGTTAAACAACGGCCTGATGATATTCTTCGGTTTCCCTGTTCCTTTTCTAACAGTTCCTAACACTCAGTTTATATTTTTGGCCCCAGATGAACATCCAATTGATGTCTTTACAGAACTATGATATCACATATCTATTTCCCAAATACAGGTAAGTAGGTTAGAGTCCAGGCACTGGATATGTAAAGTTGAATTGCTTTTGCCCATGTGTTTCACTTCATTTTTAATAAAACCGTAATCTGCTATCATTAAACCTATCATGATCTGCTATCATTAAACACTTACTACATGAAATTATTCTATAGCTCTTTACAGACAGCTTTTGGGTTTTTCTTCTACTTTAAATAACTCATTATCAAACTTCTCCACCTTTTTCCCTATCTCCACTTAAGTTTAACAGCAAAAGCTCCACCATAGCTCCCTGCAAGATTGCACTGTGATCTCCCTCCATATCTAGCCTTGTGCTCCGCATTCTATCATTACACATGTATTGCCATGTGAGTAAGAAGCTGAAGCTGGATGGCCAGAATCCATTTCGGCCTTTGAGCCAACTTCAAGCTAGTATCACTGTTCTGTTACAATTTCTGTTATTAAGACCGGAAAAATTCTGTTACTACAGGGTTATGTCTAAAAGGTGACCGGGGAAAAAATCTCTACATTTACTGTTTTTCTTTCTTGCTCCCTACGTTTCAATCACTCTCAGATATACTATTTACCTGGTTGTCCTGCTTGTGCCATCTGCACTCCTGCCAGCATTGGCTGCTGCTGAGCCGGTGCACCTGACATTGGGACCTGCTGCATGCCTGAAGCCCCTGCAATGATTGCACCAGCTCCTGGTTGACCTGATTGGACAGATGCCCCTGAGCCAGGGGGTCGACGGTTTGACAGTCCCTTCCCAAAGGCTACAGCTGCTACCAGAGCATTGGTATCTGCAGGGTTGAAAGTCTGCTTGTTCTGTCGTAAACCTGTAGAAAAAGAAATGAATTTTGGAGCATTCTGGCAATGACGTCTGAAAATTAGCTTAGCTGGTCCTGAATTTACTTTTCTGACAGTTTGGAGCATGTGACAGAGATCAGCCTCTAACAGTTTGTCCCACAAGAGTCTCAGCAGGATCAAAGAAGCTGCAAAATCCAGGAACAGTGAGGTTCCAAGAGCTTTCCCACGAGAGCAAGACATACACTCCTCAGGGGAGGAGCTACCTCCTCCGCACCCATAAGAACGCCTCAGCTAAGAACTCTTCCACGTCGAGTCCTGTGGCAGGTAACAAGCACTGAGTTTTAGATGTTCAAAGGCAACAATCGCCTTTCTGTGGCTCTTGAGCAGCACAGCATCTATAAGAGTCCTGTGACTCTTAAATCTGTTTTCCACAAATATATTTCTTTGGGCTGTGAGAGCAAGTTTGTTGCTGCCTCCAGTAGGCCTGCACTAAAACCCTTTCCTATAGTGGACTCCGAGCTATCTGCTCAGAAAACTTTTGGGTCAGCAACACAGGACTAATGATACGTATCTCTGTGGTAGTGCTGCCATTTCTCTTCTTATCTAAAGGGAGAAGTGATGTGGTAGTGACTATTTCTAAATAAAAAGGACTGCCTCCAGCAGCCTCCATTCATATATCCTTGCATCATCAGTCTCATTGCTGCTTTGCAAAGAAGGTACCTCCACACATATGCAACAGGTCAAGGCAACTGCGTTAGCCACCTAACATGCCACTGCATTTTCACAACTATTTTAATCCGCGTCAATCAAGGCGTTTTCTTGGTAAACACCAAAGTCAGCACTTATCTCCTCGAAGCGGGGGTATAGCAAAGGGTTGGAATGACTTTCTGCTACGCATAGGTCACACAGTACAGCGCTAAGAACAAGTAAAACACATCCCACCCAAAGGACACCTTTTCAAATAAGGGAGTTACAGGACAGCCCATCTTGCATCTGCCTGATCATTTTCATCTGTACTGCTCATCTGCATTCCCCATGCTTTAGGCTCTGTGCTTTTCCCATTCTGCCACTGCTTTCTCAAGCTTGCTGCTTAGACCCTGTACGCTAATTCCACCTTATACCTCCACTTTCAGATTCACGCTCCTCCTTGCTGATCTTCTCCAACAGATTTGAGCACATTTTGTTCAGACTTTGGATCTGTTTCTGCAAAATGAAAACAATGAGAAACCATCAGAATACCTCCAACTCAGTACAAGCCAGCAAGGTAAGTGAACAAGCTTTCTCTTCTCCAGGGTTTGTGTAATCAAACATAAGCATTTTGGTAGCAGAGCCTAAGGAGCCCCATTCTAGCATATGTAGGAGGGGACTACAAGGAGGCGATAGCCTTTGCCTTTCTCTGACTGGTGTGATGGCACCTCCTGCAGAACAGGAAGCGGGCTGCATACCCTTGCTTTGGGAGACTGCGGAGGAACCCAAACTCTGAGGTCAGCTGGAGAACTCTCAGACAGAAAAGGACATAGAAAACAGAACTGTGAGATGGAAGGGTGAAGGAGGCAGAACACTGGAGCCAGAAAAGCAGGGAACTTTGTGCCCTGGGACTAAGGAAGGGGCAAAAGCATCAAACTCTTCTTCCCCTACCTGCGCCACATCAGGGCTGATTCGAGCTGCATCTGTGATCAGTTGCTTCTCCTGCTCCTCCACCTCAGGGTCAGGTTTAGTTCGAAGATGGTCAGGCACCACCTCATGGCTGAACACTGGCACACGCCCCTCTGTCTGCCGCTGCAATAGTTGGACAAGCCACACTCAGAACCCCCTCCTCCAGCCCAGCACTCAAACAACTCAAGACCAGAGCACGGGCCACGGTACAGGAACAAGGCTAGCAGCATGCTGCAGGGAGACCTTGATCCATGGAGCATTAGGAAGTTTCAAGCATTTGTCCAGGAATTTGCGCTGTGTCCATTTAGTCAGAGCATCCTGTAGGGGTCTGCAGTGCTGTCCTACCTGCTGCCTGCCAGCACAGCCACAATCAGTTGAAATGTTTTCACACTCAGTGAGAGACTTTATCTTGCCAGCGCACACTGTAGGTTCTGTAACGCACCCCATGTTGGTCTGACAACAAACAGTGCAAAACTAGGTGCAGATGTCTGGCAAACAGACAAACTATGGCAGAGAAAATAGAGAGCTTGCGAGACCTCCCAGTTACACAAGGGGATACTACAGCTCCGCAGGCCCTGATACCATGAAAATAACATATTTATGAACAGGAACACCTCCTGTAAAGTGTATCCAGAGCAAATAGTTGTAGGGGAAAGCTCCCCAACAAAGCAGCTCCCGGGCAGAACAGCTCATCATCTTTTCTTTGTCTACGCACAGAGCTGAGAAAAGGCCAAGCCGAAGGAACAGCAAGCTGGAGCAGGTACACAAGCACATTCTGATGCTCCAGAGGCATCACCCAGAGGGAGGTTTCTTACCATGATCTCCTCATCACGATCTGGAGACAGCACTAAGGGTATGATAACCTGGTTTCGCAATAGTGGGGTTTTCTCATGCTTTAGCACTTTATTCAAGGTGTTCAGCTGTCCTGAGAGCAATGCAAAGCTGTCCAGAACTGAAGGCCTGGGAAAATAAAGAAAGATGAGAGATCATGGAAAGCAATACTAGAGATGGCTTTTACTTGTTCTTCACTCATATGGCTGGGAAGTGTGGAAATAGCGTTAGTATTGAGTCTACTCCACAGAGCAAAGACTAAAACCTAGGGCTGAGCATGCAGGAAAGGACAAATCACGGTCCCCAGAGACGATGCTGCAACAGCTCAGGGACGTTGCAGGCACCACTGGAAGGGGCAGGTGTTTGGGATGTCAGTAGCCTACGCAGAACTTTCCTTATCACTGTAACTCTCCCAGTAGGATCCTAAAGCAAGGTCTGAGAGACAATTTAACTCCTAAGCAGTACAGTCAGGCGACACACTATTTACAGCTTGGCTATTCAGACCAAGTGATAATGAGGCAAAATAATAGACAATCTCATCAGGGAAGTCTCCTTCAGCTTGTTCTCTTCCAGGGATTCATCACCTCTTCGGCCTTCTGCAACACTAACTATAAATGCTAATTGCCTTTGAAGCTCTGCTGCAGTGGCAGACACCGTGTAAGATGCTGTATGGTTTATTAAGCTGCAGATACATCATCCTTATGCTCCTTCAGGAAGAGGACGCGATCTTGCAAGTCTCTCAAACTACCTGGTAAAACATGCAGAACCAGCCTACAGGTGCAAGAACTCCGTTTATACCAGAGGCAGAAAAAGCCAGAGGTCAAGAAGTGCAGAAAGATCAACTGCTCATTTTATAGCATAAGAAGATTTGTAAGATATTCTATCCAAGAAGCTTCCAGTCACTGTGGACACAAGCAACTACACAAATTACCATAAAAGTGCCCAGGTTAAAGGGTGTTGGCATGACTCTGTTGCCATATAGCGCAAGACAAATGTTTTTCAGCTGTTTTGTTAGTGGAAGAGGTTAAGTGGTTCCACCAGTAGAAATGTGAAAAGCAAATTTAAGCCTACTGACAGTAGGTTTGTGTTTTTTAATTATACTTTGTGTTCCCTAGAGCAGACTCTGGAACAGCTTTGGCAGTGATGGACAGTGCCCCCAGCTCTGTGAGACACCTTACCATGTGAGCCGGTCATACTCGTTCTCCAGCTTGTAGATAAAACTGACCAAGGAGTTCTTCAGGTCGGCCACCTGGCTGATAAGCGCCTCCAGGGTCAGCTCCAGCTGCTTTTCCTCTCTCTAAAAAAGGCAGGAAAAAAAATGAGGACAAAGCTTGCCACTTTTCCAAGGACCAGAGGGGTCCATGTGCATGTGTTCATAGCCCTCCTACGCAGGGACCCCTCTTCAAGGGAAGGAAATAGAGACCCTGGAGATAAAAATCCTGTATCGTCACACTGACCTCTTCTTGAGTAAGAGCACTCAGGCAAGAGACTTGTGCATGAGACAAAGCCTCAGCTGCCTGCCCTCATTAAGATCCAGATGAGCACAATGAAGACATTATCACTTGCATTTTCTTTTTACCACCTCAGACAGTGTCATCAGAGTTAGCTCATGCCACTTCTGTGAGCTGTTTAAGCTAGCCCAGCTCAAGGTAATTAGCATTCACTCAACTCCTTCTGCTAGCAAATGTGGATACAGTAATGTCTTCATCCAAAGCAGCCGTGTGCAAAATAAGCATCGGGTCCGTGGCCTAAAGACTCCAGTTTCTACCCTTCATCTCATTCTTTACCTTCTTCCTGCCCAAGTGCCATTTCTAGCTGCTAGAGAAATTAGGAGTTCCCATTTTACTTGTGCCTTACCAGTTGTGGGAGGCACTGCTGTAATAGGGATCATACAGAACCTGGACACACATGCAGGTCACCTCCTGCCTTTTGCCTGAACTGCACTGATTAAATTCCTTTTCCACCAACATCCCTGGGTGAAGTAGGATGGCCACAAGCAAAAAATCAGAGGATAAGGAATCTGTTGCCAAAGATACCGAGACAAAAACCCTCTTGCAAAAACTCTCTAGAATCTTATCTGTTCTTATATATTCATACAACAGAAGAGTTGCACAAAATACAATTGAAGTTCCAGCCCTAATAAACTGCTAATATAAGTCAAGCGCTGTACAGTAATAATCCACCTGGAGGGTGGGACATTACAATCAAATAATAGAAAGGGAATGCCAATTGGGAAAGCACAGAGGGTGAATCATTCTGTTTGCATGCTTGCTATGGGGTTTGTTTGTTTATGTTGTTCTGTTTAAATGAACTGGACTAGCATGAGCTTCATTGAAGAGATTATCAGGTATCTTCTATATCCATGAGAACATGAGATTTTTCTATTTAATTTATAAACTGGTAAGAAAATAAAAGGTATCTTTAGAAAACACTGACCAGACTTCACTTCACTTAACCACCTTCAAAAAAAAGGCTGAGTCAACTTTGGTAGAATCTGATCCCTAGTCCTCGAAGCAGATTGCTGGGTGTTGCATCTGAAGATTAAAGCACTATAGCTCTCCTCCATCTTGTGATGGAGATGGGCAGTTTCTGTGCAATTAAGAAATGAGTCTACAACTCGTTGTGTGCACTATGCTTGTGCAAGAGAATTAATCAATGACTGTATTACAAGTTGGGCAGGTAGCCAGTGTTTATTGCAGAGGTGCCAGGCATATGCATCTAAGGCAATTCATGCAGCCTATGGCCTGTGCTTATCCAAGAGGCCCTCAAGAAGACGAATGCAACCATATTGCCCACACATTGTTCTCACAGCAGCGCCTCCTCCAAAGCCGTTAAGAGCAGGAAGCAGATGTAATGTGTACAGGCTTCACCAGTGCTTAAGATCAGTACTTCCAAGAAGTTCTGTACCTATTGCAGGCACACAATATATTCAAGCAGTGCTTTAAGGAGTTTGTTATACAATACTAGATTATCCCAAGGTAGCAAAGAGAGGGCTTATAGGAGAGATTGCTGAAGGACCTCCTGATACTGAGTGACTGGGAGGTAAAGGTTAAATTCAGTGTAGGTAAACATAAAGCAATGCACGTGGCAGAACAAACAAAAAAGGAATCTAGCTCCTCATAAACAATGACATTCTCTGAACTGATAACATTGTCACTCAAAAACCAAGATCTTTGGAGTATCCTCCAAAAACAATCAGCCCAAGGCTCAAGAATCAGTCAAGGAAACAAAAACAATAATAGGATTTATTAGAAAAGGAACATAAAACTAAGCATCATTATATCACTGTATAAACATATGCCTCGTTTTCATCGTGACTGTTGTTTGTAACTGTTGTCCCTCTATCTCAGAAAGGATATAGTAGGAGTACGTACAAAGAAAGGCAACAAGGATGACCGAAGACATACGTCAGCTTCTACAGGCATAGCAGTCGAACATAGAAAAGAGACCAGTTTGTGTGAGCGGCAGAAAAGAGAAGGAGAGACAATATAACAAACATCAGTACACGAGGAATTGCATGACAATCCATTTTCACCTTCTTTTCTGGCATGACAATTAGGAAACTTGAATTAAAGCAGGAGGTAGCAGGCTCAAACAAACCAAAGGAGGCAATTCTTCACAGCCTGTTAACCTGCCATTAACCTGTGCAACTCTTTTCCATCGGACATTATGGACGCTAACAATTCCCCAAGGTTCAGTAAGTAACTGGATCCTTCTTCCATGGACGAAAGTTTATCAAAAGCTATTAAATACATGGGACCCTTTAGCAATAGTCTGCACAGAACAGCCCTCAAGCATACTCTGCTCTCACCATTTTTCCCGGGCACCTACTTCTTGGCTAGTGTCAAAAACACGAGGGGGGGGGGGACACAGA